AACTTGACGACACTTATGTGTCAGTCCAGTGAGAATTGGAAAGCTGTCAGCGAAGCGGCAGCTTCAATCATGACAAAACTAAGACATATGGAACAGATTAGGCGTTCGTCAGTCCGTACGATAGAGGAGACTTAAATGTCTTATCACTCCCACGAAGTAATACTTAATCAGGTGGTTCCGTGGGAGAGTCTTGAGTTGGGAGTAGGTTAGGTGTAGCGGATTAAAGTTCCGCACTTCGGCTTTCGATGCTTCCCCCTACTTAAAAAAAAACGTGGTAAAAAAAACTTGTTTATTAGACGACCGCATTGAAGCTGTTAGTGCAGCCGAACAGTGTGGAGACATTTTGATCGGTTGACTTTAGAAGCATTAAGCAATTTTCCGACAAGGTTGCGTTTGAACTCATCACTATAACTACACACATACACATCTACATGACATAGACGAGTGTGTGTGTGTGCTAATTCGTCTACGCTTCACCAAATGCCACAACATTACAGCTCACAACCGACGATTGCCGTTGCTTTTGCTGTTGTTATGTTTGAACGTTTCGACTTTTGTTCGCGAACATTTTACTTAAAAAATGTAAATATTCACTCGATCATCACCTAGCGATCATTAAGCTCGTAAATAGGTTGTGAAAATGTTGGCCTAAGCAATTTCACTCCACTGCGAGGCGCACATATACAAACATGGAGATATGTACCATAAGCATAAGTAGGAGCAACGGGTGTTCATGAACTGCAAGTTCCAAAATTACGTGCTAATTCTAGGGCTAGAAGTATTTATTCAAACAAATCATTACATAATTGGAGGCATTTTTTTTTTATTTTCTGGGTCCAAACTATTACTTTCTATTGTGCGTCCAAACATACTTACACACGTCAATATTATTTGTGCATATCTTTTGTGAAGTTAACTGTTCCAGTCCTACAATCCCGGACCGATGGCGCTTTGTGCACTCAACCTTTTATTGCCTCCATTAGCTAGTCATGCACCGTTAGTCGGTTGGCCGTGTTTCGCGATGTAATCGTTTGTTAGTTAAATGGGTTGAATAAACTCAGCGGCACATATATGAGAGATTCCATTTTTACCCCAACTTTCTATCAAATTACATTTACAGATACCAGGAAGCAGCTTAAGGCAATTTTTTAGTGCGAAGAGCCATAAGTTATTTCATCTCTTCAAATTAATTTTTTTTGTTGTTATATGGTAGTTTCTCACTAAGAATGCTTGAGCATTCGTACTTTTGTGAGCACTACTCCCTCACAGTTCTTAGAATGTCCAAACTTATTTTTCTTCTTTATTTGTGGAATCATGATTAAGCATTGTTTTGTTTTTTTAATTAGAAGCGTTGACTGCAGCTGCGTCACTAGGCCAGTGGAACGCATCTCAAAAGTTTCATAATCGCAACTAATATCGGAGACACGCAAACCGACTAATCTCAGTATGGGATGTATATAGGCATGTAAGTAAATGTCCAGATAAAAACTCAGCAGGTACAGTTATAAATTACAACTTTTTGCCACTGACCGTGAACCAACAGTTGGCCGAGAATTGTATTTTTCTGCAAGAAAAGTAGGTGAAGTAAGCCTCCGTGTCAGGTAGTCAAACACTTTGGACTTTGCTTTATATATTTGTATTATTTTTCTGTTTTCATTATTTGCAACAAGCGACAAATATCTTGACCCGTCAACTTTCTAATAAAAGCAGTTAAATTCCTGTTAGCTGTCAGTGGCACAAATAAAGAGGAAGAAACGCTGCTAAAATGTATGAACTACACACACAGACAGACATATCGTGAGCATTTATCTGCAAGACCTGAGCCACTAGGCCACCTCTGTGGGAAGTGACAGGTGGATGGCGTTGAGAATTCTCGACTTCGTGAATGCGTCAAGCCGTGAAGTGTGCAAGTTGCATGCCACAAGCAACAACAAGGTGCCCAGTTATCTTCGTGTGCAGTTAGCTAAGTAGCCATGAAACGGCAACCGGAAAAACAATACTGAATAAATAATCTTGCCACGCAGCGACGAAACGAACACGTTACCAGACTATACTAAGCAACCAGTCGGCTGTGAAGCGCACATTTACCGCTGCGACTGCCGTTGCAAATATACATACAGACGCTTCGTGTTGCAAGAATATCGCTGTGGCAACTAGGTAACAACGGCAAAGATGCACGCAAGATGTTAACGGCAATAGCCGCCGACACGGCTACCAACAGCATTCATAAATATGCATCGATATTGCCAAATATTACAAAAACATGCGAGGGGACGAGGAAACTGCCTTCGAGCATCCTACTCTGAGCGGCGGTTATCATAAAGCCAGATCAAACAGGCGTGCCGGAGTTGCTACTCTAATGGACGCATAAATCAGCTGCGCATGCTCGTGGCACAACCGTTCGCCTATTCTGCTTTGGTGCTCTGTTCTTCCAGTTATACTTACAAGTAAATACATACAAATGAACACCATGAAGTAACAGTTCCACTCGTTTATTTTGCAATTTCTTTCAATGTTTTACACGCCACTGTATTGCGCAGCAAAAATTAACGAACGGAATTATTAAAGCTTCTTTCCGCAGAACTACTTGTAGACTGTTAGTGCTTTAATTTACAAACTTTGAATTTGGTTGGAGCCAAAGATTCGGAAATTGTTAATCTACAATATATTTTGGTCTTTAAGCCGTATTCTAGTTCTCCAGAATCAGAGTGATATCTAACTAATTTAAAACATTCCTAGTAAATTCCGTTCACTCCACTAGTCACCATGGGGCTATAGGCTTAGTTGTAAATGGAGCTCGACCACGTTGCTTAACCTCTTTAATCGTTAGCCATGCCTCTGAAGGCAAATGAGACTAAATAAATGTAATATTTTTTTTAATTATTTGCAAGTAATTGTCCCGCAGGTGTTACCCAAAGCTCATTTTTGAATATCATAGCTCCACCTCCTACTGCCCATTAATTAACCGTAGCATTACAATTGATAAAACTGAATAAATTTATATAACTTGTAATTAGTGCACGTGAATAAGTATTATATTCCAATTCTGAGCTTCGGTTTTCAAGTTAAATAAGCAAATTTCGAAAAGTCATTAATTATAAAGTTCAAGGCGAAAATATGCTGCGCCTATCATGCCCACTAGCTAATGAATCTGAGAGTGGAGCAACATGCACATTTTGTTCGCAATAAAATTTTTTGAACTTTTGTTAGGAACATAGAGGACTTTAAGTCTAAAGCGTTGTTGCTCGATTCATTATACCGTTAGACAATTTTTTTCTCCCTATGCTCTTTCTTTGAATTATTCCATGCTCTGTGCGATCTTTTGTTTTTTGGAACTGAAATTTTGCAATAGGGGCACCCTGTGTAACCACAGTTGAACCGTCTGCCATAATAGCGTTAATAAAGTTCGAAATTATTATATCTCCCATGGATGGGGCATAGCTTTAATATGAGTGTATGTGTATGTGTTTGTATCGGCAGCGAAATCCAACTAATTGAGTTCAATAGAAAGGTGCAATAACTTTTTTTTACTTTATTGTCGTGTTGCTGCTTTATTAATTGCATTTCACACGAATTGCCAATGGAACAACATATTTAGAAGATGTGAAGAATAATAAGAAAAACGACAGCGATTCTCATGCTACGCGCTTATGCCGGGTAATAATACTTCGAATGAATTATTCAAAAGAAATTCGGCGTTTAGGGGCAGCGGAATTGCAAGTGGGGAAGGTATAATAAATTGATAATTGCAATTACAGTAAATATTTAACCGTTCCAACGGCGCTCACTCGTGCATAGCACAAACGTGAACTGAGTAATAAGTAAGACAAGTTGCAGCAGCCGTTGCAAGTTACGCCCAGGGCACACTTACGTCCGCACATTTTGTTTTGTATAATAAATGGATATAGATATGTGTGTGGATCGCTGTATATCGGCTGCGGCGGCAGATATTGCCGATGTACGAACTCAAGTGCCGTTACAATTGAACAAAACTACATAGATGACGAGCATTAGCAAAGTCAATGAATTTGATATGCTGAGGAGCGGCTGTGCGCTTTGTAGAATGTCGATGCTCACAATATAGTTTGATTCCCCATTTTTTTACGCAGGCCTACGCTCATTTCTCCACCAATCTATTAAAACGGTATTTTGTCTACGATTTCACGCGGTATTTGCGGTTTTCGGGCATGGGCGAATGAGAGACTCGGAAGAGCGGAGGTGAGGTGAAGGCATGCAATAGCAGACAGCTGTTCGATGGCATCGAAGGTCAATACACTTTTCTCGAATGCTCATTTGTGAGAACTCAACTAGGGGCACCGTAGCTTCCACTCGCTTTTCAACGCTGAAAACACTCATTTACACAGTATTCAAAAATGAAAAAAAAATGCCACGGTCTACGTTTGTTTCGATATTCCTGAGCAAAATTAATGCACACTTGTCCACTGCGACTTGGCGGTCAATTGCGGTCAATTCGTTGCTTTTGCTTCTTTCGTTGTCATTGTTATTTGCGATGTGTCGTGTGGTGTTGCCGTTGTCGCCACTGCGTAATTGTCCGCCCAGCATGGTGCGAACCGGTGCGACAATGCACCAGCAGACACCAACTCATCAGCAATATCAACCGAATAAACAAAATACTCCCAAGAAACTATAAATAAATTAAACAACAACTCTATAATAGAGAATGGCTTTGGTTAAGTTCTGCAAGTGAAGGTCGAGGCTGAGACTAAATTTAAATTCCTTTTCATTTTGAATACGTCAGTTGACTAATCTTGTTTCAAACTATTAGCGAATTAGCGTAATATGAGACGAACACTTACGCCACAATGAATCTGCCGAGGTATTTGAGAAGCTATAGAGTTGTCCGTTTCTGGCCGAACAAAACAAAGGCTACTTTTAATATTTGGTATTTTCTTATACAAGTATGTTTTATAAATGTGTGTGTATGTTTGCGTAAATAAATTTTCAAATTGTTTTCATGGAAATATTGTAAACACACTTACTCGAGTAGACAGCGGCCCCCTCCGTGGCAGCAAGCGCACTGGCCATGGCCAACAATGAGAAAAGGCCGATCAATGGAACACGAAAAGTGGTCAAAATAATTTTATTTTTCATTTCACAATATGACATATTTCGCTGGGGTGTTTTAGCAACGAATTTATCGTTGAATTTGTTGCTTTTGTGCTTGTCGGCGCCGCTGTTGCACACCCGGTTTTTGACAGTGCTGTTGTTGGGATAGTCGCAGCTGCCGCTCAGCAGAAGACATGAAGTGACCATTTTGATATCTATAAGCCTCTTTCGCGTTTACCTTGCTTATGTATGTTTTTATCGTCGTTGCTTCACTACTTTATTTTTATCGATTACTTTGCTTTATTACTGCTATTCTTCTTACTTTTTGTCATGGATGCCTCAACATTTCTTAACACACGCTTAGGCTCTGCCTCTGTGCACCTGTTTTCGTGTTCATTATTTTGTTTATGCTAATTAATAAAAATTGCAAATTTTTAATTTTAATTTTTCTCAGCAAAACTCGTTTCCGCTAATCCGCTTTCAAAGCGCTTGTTTATTTAATTTTTTTTTTTTTTTTTGGAATTCTGGTTTGAAAAAAATTTTAATTCAAATCAAAAATGCTAAACTCGTCGGAGTAGTTGCTGTTGTTACTGTTAATTTGCATTGCCAATATGAGTTTGGCAGCTTTTGTTTTCGTTTATTCCGAGCAAATACTATTTGACTATTCGAAAGAGCTAACAGTTTTCACACAATCCACTTCGAAAAAACAGCAAACACGAGGCCCGTAATGATGTAAATGTTCCAATCCGCACACAAATAATTTCTCACACACGCCCTAACGTTGAATAACAAAGATCTCTTTATCGTATCATTTCGCAAATTTCGCACTTTGAACAGTTATCTGCCTCGTATTGTAATTTGCTCATTTGCTGAATAACCAAAAAGCCATAATTTAATAACACAACCGTTAAAAGCCGGAATAGTTGTTGAGACGATTCGTCGTTGCTACGTTCGTCGTCAACGTGTTTCGCCTCCGCTCAACGTTCACTCGCGCCGAATATCAGATTCCAACTGAGCTCACCTTTGCGACGATCACAAATGTTGACCGTTTTCTATCGTACATATTACCAACAACTCGTAGACTCGTGTTCCAACTCGCACACTCACTCTTACGTACATATGTGCTCACAAATCCGCAAAGGTAAATAAGTAATAAAATAAACTGCTGTACGACGCTATGGGTGCGCCTGTGTGTATATATGTATGTATATTCGTTCACATCCACAGTGCGATCGATTCTGTGTTGAACAACTTCATCACGTTCGTACGAGTAAGTCTTGTTTGGCCTCTTCGACGAGTGATAATGATATTGACAACGATCATCTCGCTCGTCGATGTCGCCATTGTTGGCTTAATCATCAACTGCGCGCAGTCGGGGATCTCTGTATGGCCCCGTGTTAGTCTGAACGACAAATGTTGGATGCGAGCGAATATTAGAGCCAACAGGCCCTGCGTGCGGTGATGTGAGAGGGACCGATAAAAGAAAGAGAGCTGTTGATCATCATGTATGTGATATGCAGAGAGCTTTAATATGTTACAATAGACAATTAAAAATTAATCAAATAAAATCTATTTTCGCGGAAACAAATTGGCTGCTGCTAGGCGAAGCGTAGGGTGAAACCGGCTTTCCCAGAAATTATTGGAAATCAACACAACTTTTCAATAAAGCCTATCCACGTGTTGTGGGAGTTTGCTTCAAGGTTTGGCAGACTACCATTTTAACTAAAGGCGGCTCGAAGTGGTGTTAAGACACTTTGGCTTGATAAGAGTAGTATATATTTGGGTATATATGACTAGGCAGTGCCCTCTTATGCCACTCCTCTGCTTCTCAAGTGGTTCGATAATGTGTTAATAGTTAGAATTAGATTAGAAGTAGTTAGAAAGAGAGTTAACTTCGGCTGCACCGAAGCAATAAATCACTTCACAGGTGCATTTCTTATAACAACTATATGCATAACGGTTTGCTTCCAGCAAAACGTTATAAGGACAAAAAGATATATATTCATGCCAAATTTCGTGTAGATATCTTATCTTATGAAAAAGCTTTCCATGCAAGTACTTGGATTCCGATCGCTCAATTTGTATGGCTATTTTAAGAACTGAGGGACTACTTCGCATATACACAGACAGGCCGACATGGCTAAAGCGACTCAGCTACTTGCGCTGTTCATTAATTATATACTTTATAGGATCTGCGATGTTTTCATTTGTGTAACGAACATCGTGGCAAATGTACATATATACTATGTTTTATTTTGTTGTAGGAGTTCCACAACGAGTAGTGAACAATTAGCAATGAATGCACCCAATCCTCTCCAAGTCTCTCGGTTAATATTGAACTACCGTCTGTTATCGTGTCTCTTAACATATGAACAACCAAAATCATTGCAACGCTTGACAAGCGACAGCAAATAACAAAGCGACGAGTTCACTCCTTCAACTCATTCCACCATTCATTTTTCAATCAGCGCAGTTAAAAGACACTTCGTTTAGTTGCGCAGCCTGCCGTCACACCTCCAACATGCTGTGGGCTGGAAACGCTTGAATAACAGCGCATAAATTAGCAACGAAAAACAAATATGAATTGCGCATACGCAACATTGCGCGCTGTCAACAAGCTCAGCAAAAGCAAATCACTAAAAATACTTATTAAATGCGGTTAGGTGCGGAGGGGCAGATTTGTTTTTGGTGTATTTGATACATACATTTTATGTATATATATATATATATATATGTATGTATGTACTATATGTATATGAATCTTAATGTGGTAACTAATGTTAATTTTTTTCGCTTCGTACTCTGAAAAATTAGAGAAAGGTGAGCTCGTTTTTTCTTATTATCAGATAAAAAAAAATCATATATCGCTTCCAACTACAAAATGGTATCTTACGGTCTTTTCGTAAACCTAACCATTTAAGAGATATGAACGCTTAAAGTTTGACTATTTTATTCTCAAATCCTCTTTATAATTAAAAGCTCATACTTGAAGAGTTTTTCAGAGTACTAAGCGAAAAAAAAAACATTCGTTTATTGAGCCACCCTAATGAATCTAGTTGCTCAATAAAAACGAACCACCGGATGAAGGAGAGCATTTGCTGACTAGTGTGGTAGACTCGTCAGCAATTAGTATAAGGACTTCCTATTGCCTTTATCCAATAGAACAGGAAAGGCACACTAGAGTACGTACGTTCGCTGTAAATGTAGTTCACGAAATCTGTAAGGAATTTTGAAACAATAAGACATCCAAAGCACTGAATTGTGTAGAACTGGAACACGTGTTGTTTCAAAGGCATCATAAAAGCCCATATAGACATGGAAACCGTCACAGGGGGATAACCTTCCGATTTGACTTAGAATTCTTGTCAAAATGTATGATCAATGATTTTAATTTTAGTGAACCCGAGACCTGTAAACTAGGCCAAAATTATTTTCTTTAGTCTTTATGTAAAGCTCTCGAGGATGTGAGAGTGCATGTGCATATGTTTGTGCCATTTGCGAAATAATTTATTTCGGGAGACTAAATGCAGACTTTGGTGTGACAACGTTCGGCTTGCGTATGGGATTATCGCTTAGTGTCGCCGGTGTTGTCATTGTCTCTTTTTTCTGATTAACTTAACCTATAAACGAATGTCAATCTCAAACGTGGCCCAAACAAACCACTGCGCGCGAAGTTCGGTCCGAGAAGGAGCATGAAAGAGACGATCTCGCTGCACTCACGAAACCGCTATTGACTATCGCAACGGCTAACGCACAGGCCGCTAGCTGTTGCAAGCGTTGGCAATGCACTCACTCAAACATATAGGTGCGACTTCGGCTCGAAATAAAGCCAAACTGCATTCACAATTCGCCTCGTTCGCAAATTGCGCGCTGTGCGCCTAAAGCCTCGCTTAGCAACAGAAACAAAAGACAGGCGGTGCACGACTGGTGTCTGCATGCAACATCGAAGAATTGGCAATGCGAAAGGCGAAAATAATATTCATAAACAAATTACCAAATGCCACTTCCAAAAATAAAAATAGCCAGAGGTGGTTTGTGGTCGACGAGGCGGACCAGTTCCAGCTGAGCACGTAGTTTTAAGCTAAATTCGAGTTAATGTTGCAATATATTCACACTGCACTTGTAAGTATACAACAACAGCAATAATATTAGCAGCGCTTGGCAGACACATACCAGTAAACTTCTGGCTTTCGACACCTGCATGTGACATCAATAGTTTTCGAGTTCTACAGCTTTATATTATATTATATAAAAGTATGTAGAAGGACTTATCTGAATTATCCGGCTAGGCTCCAACTATACATTATACTGTAGGCTTCAACCAATCAAATTGAGGTTTGCAAAGGGAGCTTAAATTGCTATTTTGTGTTTGTTGGGTAGCGGCTGTGATTTGAGTGGCCAGTTAGTAACCAGTCATCCGAACAACCCGTCGGGCTTACGTGAAGCAGTCGAAGCAGTCAAACGAGGCGACCAGAGCCGCCGACCGAAGCTTAAGCTAACAGTCAGAAGCCGGTTAAGCCGTTTGTTTGTGGAACTCGACCGGCCACAGTCGCAATTAATCATGTTTTTTTTTAGTATAAACGATCAAATGCACAGTGACTTCAAACAACCATAGTGGCTCAGCACACAGCCAAAGTTAGTATTACTTGGTTTAAAGAAAAGGAAAAAGGTTCGCAAAAATTTTATTAGCCACACGACGAAGCTACGACTTTGTAGAATTCACCGCTTGTAGTATAACAACGAAACTCGCATCACAAATGAAGAGAAGCGACCCCACTCTTTTGTCACATCGAAACGGTGAGTATTAGAGCGGGCCGAAGCGCGTTTGGACCCACCGTGCCCTGAAACAGATCGGCTCTGATGTTGTTTATAACTGGGTACGCGAGATTGATCGCTAGTAATTGTGCTGCTGCTATTGTTGTTGCTCGCACACACGCTCACACATTCATGCCAGCAGTTTTGGTAATAGCTTTGACGCGACTTGAAGTTGTAATCGCCTAAAATTGTTATTTATCCGCAACTGGTTGGTTATTATTGTTTATCGATGACTCCATGGCGCTGTTGACGTTTGTTGTTGTTGTTTATTGTCGTTATTGGCGATTCTAAAAATAAACCAATCCCACTATTTTTGTGCGTTGGCCATTTTAGGTTGCAATGTTGTTTACTTCGTCATTCCGTTGCTTCAACTCGCCGCCGTCGCTCCTGGCTCTGTCTGTTGCAGCATTAAAACTAAATGGTTGCATGCGGCAACAAGCTCGGGCGCCGCCACATAACGACAAAAACTGCTTTTTTACACTTCACTCGATATATTTACTATGCAACAAATTTGCGTTCGCTTCTGCCACGATTTCAGCTGCTTGTGTGTGAGTGTGTTTTGGTATTTTTTGTTATTATCACAGATTTGTTGTTGACAATCGCCGATCGGAACCAAATAATGTAAATAACCGAAAAGGTTATAAACCAACCGGTCAACTTGAGTCTGCTTGCCAACCTGTTTAGCCGATGTGTTGTTGTTTTTGCTGTCCTCTTACATAGTCGCATACATAGTACTTGCTTGAGTTTATATTTATTTTCGTACTTCATTTACCTCATTTAATTTGCGACGTGATACGAAAGATTTGCTGAAGATTGTGTCATTTCTGAGTTTTGATATTTTAAGAAATTCAATTTAGATCTGTTTTACACGAATTGCACCACTTCATTAATCCGTCGACGCTCTCACTGAACAATTTCGTTTCATCTCAGTACCCCGAATTGTAGTCTAATAAAAATTACCTGCTACCTAATTTTGAACTTCAGGCTCTAACATCTAAACCTAACAGCAACATTCCATTATGCACAGGAGAAGAAGCAAGGAAAAATATCTTTCTCGCAAATAGGGATATTTTATGGGTGTGGTCATATTCTTAGTCTTCTCATGTCCCGAACATATTCGGTCTAATTGGTGATTACTAACTGTGTGCGTTCAGAATTAGAATTTACTCAAATTGTTTCTAAAATATCACCAATAAAA